ATCATCATTTCATTTACTAAAGTTAATTGTCAACCAATCCGGTAACAAAACCGTTTACAAAATTTCATTCCAAACAAAATAAATGCCGGTTTTGGAGCTTGCTCTAACAGTAAGATTCAAGCTACCTCGTGACACAATGTATCTCGTTTCGAAAAAGCTTAGTTGGAAAGTAGGCGTTACTTCAAATTAAAAAATGTGAAAAACTATTCGATAAGACGTATCTGTTATCAATTCAAAATCTCTCTATTTAAAGTATATTGTTATAGTTAACAATTTCTAGTCCTAGTGTTATGATTTAATTGGGCACCTGGACAGCGAATCGGCCCCTATCCCATTTATCTAGAATTTTAACAGTGTTTTGATTGAGCATTGAGATAAGCAGGCAGTGGGGTTGCTTTTATGAATTTTTCTAACACTTTGCTTGAATAACTAAAAAGGAATGAAAAAATTAAATGAGCAGCTTGCTCTAAACTGTTTGTTTGATTTTGGAGTAGTTCAGAATCGCATCAGCATGAGGAAACGTTATTTCCAGAAGAGTTGATGAAATTATTTGTTTTTATAGTTATGATATGAGGCGTCGGTGGTGAAATTTGCAGCTATTGATCTGTAGTTTTAATCTTTGATATAATTTTCAAATTTAAAGATTTCATTAAAATTTGCTGTTATACATTCTATGGTTTTGTCGAAAAAATCTGCGTATAGCTTATATATATGCTGTGATAGAGTTGGTATTTTGAGGTCTGCATGTATATTGGTATTCCGGATGAACAGGTTATTTTTCTTGTCTTGGCATTGGTTTAATTTCTGCAGTAGATGTTGAGGTATCACTGTCCAAGCAGGTGAGGCATATGTGAGTATTGGGCGGATCATTGCTGTATAAAGTAGCTTCTTTAGTTTAAGTGACATATTCTGATTATTACTGCATTTGCTTTATCTATTGTGCTTTTGATATGATCATTCCAGGTGAGTTTGCTATTGATTATAAGGCCAAAATTCTTTTTTTTTACTATTGGTATTGGTATATTGAGCATTTTTGGTTGAAGTTGTGGAAGTAATTCAATTTTTCATTTTTGTATAATTAATATTTATGATTTTCCAGCGTTTACTGCAGTTTTCCATTTTAAGCACCAGTCTTCGATTTTGTATATATGGTCCTGTAGTTTTAGAAGAGCTTGATTTGGGTTTTTGGATTTAATAATAATACCGGTGTATTTAATAT